AGACTCTTATCTCCAATAAACCACCAGAAAACCGGAAGTGGCATCGTAGCTCAAGTGGTAGAGCGCTCTCCTAGAGCTGAAGAGCTGAGGGACAGTGCGCAGGCCCAGAGTTCAAGCCCCACGACTGACCAAAAAAAAAAGAATGTAGTATAGGGAGATAAATCACCCCAAGACACCTAGCCCAAAGATTTGTAAGCTAGCTAGGTAAAAATGTTTTAAGGGTGCCAGCAGTTCACTTCTGTAATCCTAGCTACTCAGGAAGCTGAGATCTTAGGACCAAAGTTTGAAGATGGGCCATGCAAAAAAGTCTTTCCACCAAACTTAAAAAAAAAAAAAAAAGGTGCCTTAAGTGGAGCTGTGGCTCAAGTAGTAGAGAACTAGCGTTAAGCAAATGAAGCTCAGGGACAAATTCTAAGCCCTGTGGCACCAAAATAAATACATAAAATATAAGGGGTTCTTGGTTAAAAATCGTTAACCACAACCATGAACCTCTGGTGGTTCATGCCTGTAATCCTAGCTCAGGAGGCTGAGAGCTGAGGACCACAATTCAAAGTCAGGCTGGGCAGCAAGTCCATGAGACTCATCTCTAATTAAGTACCAAAAGAGCTGGAAGTGGAGCTGTGGCTCAAGTGGTAGAGCGCTAGCCTTGAGCAAAAACAGTTCAGGGACAGTTCAGGGACAGTGCCCAGGACCAACACACACACACACACACACACACACACACACACACACACGCACGCACACACGCACACATGCATACACACACACACACACACGCACGCACGCACACACGCACACATGCATACAAACACACACAACCAAATTAACCTCTCCATAAAATTTTGTATATAATCAGACTACTCCAAGTCTAGGGATTGAACAAGTTCATATGTATGTGCACACAATGGAATCTACGTAGCCAATTCATACGAAATTGTAGGTTCTAAGTAAAAATCACAAATATCAATCTCCACTTGATCACTGAAGAGAACAGCCTGGGTTTGCTCTGGGTTATAAGTGTAACAGAAGCTTTTAGGATGTGCCTTACCTTTGACCCACCCCATTCTGCATAGCTACTCCATCTTGAGTGTAAGCCTTAAAACAGAATGACTTTGCATTGCATTACTTTGCAAGTTAATAAACACAATCTTTAGGGGCTGGGAAGGTGGCTCAGTTGTAGAGCGCTTGCCTTGCATGCCTGAGGCCCTGGGTTCCTTTCCTCAGCACCACATAAGAAAAAAGCCAGGAGTGGTGCTGTGGCTCAAGTGGTAGAGACCTAGCCTTGAGCTGAAGAGCTGAGGGACATCGCCCAGGCCCAGAGTTCAGGACCCACAACCGGACCCAAAAAAAATAAATTAAATAAACACAATCTTTAAGCACACCATGAGCACAAACTGGTAATTTATTTTTGCCAATATACCACTGTTGGCAAAAAGCATATCAGCAACACCAGACCCAGTACCACAAATATTAAGCAAATAAAACATGACACACCTAGCATTGGAACAGAGGGCACACACTAACTGGACATCAGAACATCCTGTGTATGCATTAAGGGTCAACAGGTGACAAACATCCAACTATCTGAGACTTCAGTTCAGCTCAATCAATCCCCTGCTTGATGTGACACAATTGCTGATTATGTGGATCCAGTAAACCAGAGAATCATCTCCTCATGTGGACACCCCTCTGCCTAAAAATCAGCTCTGTACTTCAATCAGCATTGTAGTTTAGGGACTCTGCACTGTAACACCATTAGGCCTCCATAGCTCTGGACAGCATATTTCATATCTTATTTGACCACTAACAAGGATTCTCTTTGCAACTATATCCACCCTCTGCTCTAGCCTAAGACTAGGCTCCTTGGATCCGTGCAGCCACTGTAACTCTTTCCTAGCGAGCCTCTATCTTATTGTGTACTGTGTGAGCTGAGAGTTGATATTAGTAATTAAGATTGCAATTTTAGAAAACCCAAAAAACGCTGTGTTGTCAACAGCTTGGGCTATCCAGTCACCTTTATAAGAATTGGGAAATAAATGTCAATGAAATTGCTTTAGCTTTGTGAATTTGCTGTCATTCAAAATATTCTGACATTGTAAAAAGTTACAAAGCACATCCATTTTTTTTTTTTTTTGGTCGGTCGTGGGGCTTGAACTCTGGGCTTGGGTGCTGACCCTGTGCTCCTCAGCTCAAGGTGAGCGCTCTATGGCTTGAGCCACTTCCGGTTTTCTAGTGGTTTATTGGAGATAAGAGTCTCACAGACTTTCCTGCCCGGGCTGGCTTTCAACAGTGATCCTCAGATCTCAGTCTCCAGAGTAGCTAGGATTACAGGCATGAGCCACCAGTGCCTGGCTACAAAGCACATCCATTTATGTTTTTGACACCCTCAGTCACAAGAATTAAAAACTGAGGCTCAATAAACTGAGGAATAACAGTACCTTAGAAGCTGAAAACCTTCACTGGACACTACGTTGAAAATGAGTTTTATAACTTATGGGTGGGGATAGGAGGAAAAAACTGGGAGAGACCAAGGGAAATGGTGGCACTGTCCAAAAAGAAATGTACTCTTTATCTGACTTATGTAACAGTAACCCCTCTATATATTCACATCACCTTTATAGTAACCATAAAAAATTTTAACTATATAGCCAATACATCTTGAATTTGTTCTAAATGGCACACTGCAATTCTACTGAAATATTCATGCAAAAAGAAAATAAACCTTGTAAGCATCACCTCCTCTTCTTCAGCTCAGCCACTCATAATTGGCATCACATATTCATTCACCATTCATTCCCCAACATATCATAATCTCATGTTTGACCCAACCTGACCCAAACTAGATTTACTCCTTACCTATTAAGCTGGATACTACCAATAAACATCTCTTTCATACATCTTTTCTCATGCTTTCTTTTCTCATCCAACCTGCCATCTCCCTTCAATTTATACTCTAAATAACCAAGATAAACTTTCAAAACAAATCTTGAATTTCACATACATCCAAGCACTCATCCCACTCTCTTAAAACTCACTGCCCTCAAGACCAAATCCAAACACTAGGATAGCTCCTGAATGATGCTACACGACAAAGCTCCATACTACCTTTTTTCTCTGTGCACTATCAAGTTTCTTGTTTTTGGATCTTACATCTAAATAACTTTATTCATCACTTCATAAAATCAAAGAAACAGTTATTTTTAATTAACTCTTTACTAAACTACACACACACACACACACACACACACCCCTCTTGCATAAGAATCAGGCTCTGATTTTTTGGTACTCTTTACTAAACTACACACACACACACACACACACACACACACACACACACGCTCTGATTTTTGGTACTCTTTACTAAACTACACACACACACACACACACCACCCCTCTTGCATAAGAATCAGGCTCTGATTTTTTGGTACTCTTTACTAAACTACACACACACACACACACACACCCCTCTTGCATAATTACTAAACTACACACACACACACACACACACACACCCCTCTTGCATAATTACTAAACTACACACACACACACACACACATCCCTCTTGCATAAGAATCAGGCTCTGATTTTTTGGTACTGTCCACCAAAAAAAACACTCAACAAATATTGATGATCACATTCATAACTGTAAAGTAAGATAAAGATACTTCATAAGAAATATTGGTCTAAGCTGGGTGCTCGTGGCTCATGCCTGTAATCCTAGCTACTCAGGAGGCTGAGATCTGAGGATCCTGATTCAAAGCCAGCCCGGGCAGGAGAGACCTTGAGACTCCTATCTCCAATAAACCACCAGAAAACCGGAAGTGGCGCTGTAGCTCAAGAGGTAGAGCGCTCGCCTTGAGCTGAAGAGCTGAGGGACAGTGCCCAGGCCCAGAGTTCAAGCCCAACAACCGAAAAAAAAAAAAAAAAAAAAAGAAATATTGGTCTACAGAAGGTCTAGTGTAATGGACAAAAGAGTGATAGCTATAAAAATAATATTAACTAAATTAGAACAGGTGGTAGAGACCTGTGGTACTTTCAGAGACAAAAAAAATTTTAAATATTCACATTGTAAAAGGCAACTTTAAAAGATGCATTTGCTGCCAGTTCTGGGGGCTGATGACTTACACTTATAACCCTAGCTATCCAAGAGGTTGAAATATGAGAATTGCAGTTCAAAGTCTGCCCAGGCAGGAAAGTCTGTGAGACTTTTATCTCTAACAACCAAAAAATCAAAATGCTGGAAATGAAGCTGTGGCTCAAGTATCTTGAGCAAAGAAGAGAAAAAAGGCATGGCTAGCCGTGAACAAGAAAAAAATAATAAATGAAATAAAACCCTGAAAGACAACACCAAAATCTGGACTTCAAGCCCCAAGACTAGCACCAAATAAAAAAAAGAAAAAGGAAAAAAAAAAGTTGCTTTTATTGGGTGGTGTCAATTAACTAAAAGTTCCTCAACTCTGAATCTATGCCCTTTCATCTGAGCTATTCTCTGGTGCAGTTCCTCTGTAATCACCTCTTTGCAGCAGAAAAGCTGCAATCATCTGTGTGGAACGGAAACTGCCCCTCAAACAAGTAGTGTCTTCTTTTCATAATATTAATGGACACAGTTAAAATCTTGTTCCAGTGATAAAGCAGTAACTTTTCTGGAATTCCTCTAGGGATGAAGACTGAGCTAATAATGGTCAACAAGGCAATACCTGTGACTTGGGACTTTTTACCTATGTGAATACCTTTTTCCCATCACCCTATTTAAAGTGAAGTCAATGTCTCTATACATCTGAAGAGACTAAAGGTGTATGGAAGTGTCATCTTCCAATGGCTGCAATATAATAAACCTTCTATCTCTGTCCTTTGCCATTTTTCTTTGGCATGTGGAGGCAAATGGCCAGACCAAACCTGGGACTTCTGAACTTTGGGCCTGAGGTCTAAAAACCCGGTTTCAATATCATCACAGATAATTTTGAGAAAGAGAAAAGAACAATCAAACAGCTATCACTCACAAGTTTTTCTTTCTCCAGTTTTTGCAGTAAACTTTCCAAGTTATTTCCAATTCTTGGCTTTTCTACAACTTCATAAAGGCTACAATACATCCCATTCTTCAAAACTGGTAAAAAAAAAATAACATGGTAAATATCCAAATCAAGTTCTTCCGATAATTTTCTTTTATTGTGAAAATACCGTACAGAGGGGTTACAATTACATGGGCAAGATAATGAGTACATTTCTTATCAAGCATTGTTGCCTCCTCCTTTGTTTCCCCTCCCATCCCTTCCCATCTCCCCCCCCTTCGCCCCCCCCTCCTCCTCCACCCAATAAAAATTTTTTAAAACATTAAATTACCTTCATTTGGACCTAAGTAGGTTTCCTTATAAAACAATGCTGGAGGAATTTTCTGCTTCAGATGATCAATACTCATAACTGTTTCAACATCTAACTTCTCAGGACTGAAAGAAAATAAATAACATGTTGCCATGCCTGAACTATAAATTCTAATAATGTTATGCCTCTCCCTCTTCTTCCTTCCCTCCCTCTCTCCCCCACTTTTCTCCCCTTCATCAGACAAATATATACACTTGGTAGAAAATAGAAGAGTATATTCATTAATAACTTACTTGCTTTATTGTAAAGAGTACTTGATATAGAATGTTCAGATACCTATATATAGGTAAATAGATTTGTAGCAACACTGCCCACCTTCCATACCCTTAAGCCTGAAGTTAATCCTATGTCAATTTTACTACCCACAAACAATAAAAGTTATGATTTTTATTTAAAATAATCAAAGTATAAACTTTCATTTCTTATTTGAAGTGCTAGAGAATCAAACCCAGAATTTTCATTCTACCACTGTGCTAAATCCTCAGCCCTCAATAACAAACTGTTAAACTTTCACTATGGCCTTATCTTTACTGTGGTGTTAACAAAAGATCATTTTAAACCTTTCTATTCTATTTTAGACCTATAGAACTGAAAATTATCTGTACAATCTAACTTACCTAAACACATCAAAGCTCTTTTAAACAAAAACTAGTTAACTTTTATGTCTACTAGATATAAAACATCAAATGAAAAATAATCTATATAATCAGGATAAAACTTTCAAAAATTATCTTTCAGCTGGGCACTGGTAGCTCATACCTGTAATCCTAGCTACTCATACTCATTTCTTAGGGAACAAAGTAAATCGTAAATGTGAAAAAAAATATAAAAAGCTAAAGAAACTGAGAGAACTGCATTACTGAATTGCTATTTAATGCTCCATACTTACAGCTTAATAGGCAAAAATGCCCGCGTGGATGACCTCAAAGAAATATAGCACAGAAGCTTTCCTTTATTTAAAAGCTGTCCTTTCCATAAAGTGTAGTTACATTTATCTAAACAAAAATAAGGAGATCATTGCTTGAGCCAGAGAAGTATGTAATTACTAGAAATGAGAAATACATATTTACTAGAAAGTACCTAGAAACAAGGTTTAAGTTGAAAAATACAGAGGTAACTTTCCATTTTGGAAAAATCCAAATAGAGATTTTAGTTTCAAGTACCTTTTTCTTTATGCCCACAATGTCACCTATTTGCTCATTTTTGTTATGAAGAATCTTAAGATAATGTCAATGTTGTTTGAAACTCATTTTTACCTTTTGTAAATACAAAGTCTCTGCTGACTTTAATAAGTTTTTTTTTTTTTTTTTTTTTTTTTGTCGTGGGGCTTCAACTCTGGGCTTGGACGCTGTCCCTTCAGCTCAAGGCAAGCACTCTACCGCTTGAGCCACAGCACCACTTCCGGTTTTCTTGGGGTTTATTGGAGATAAGAGTTTTACCATCTTTCCTGCCCAGGCTGGCTTTGAACAGCGATCCTCAGATCTCAGCCTCCTGAGTAGCTAGGATTACAGGTGTGAGCCACTGGCGCCCGGCTTGACTCTAATAATTTTCAAAGGCAAGTAAGCCAGGCATGGTAGCCCATACTTATAATGTTCAAACACTAGGGAGGCTGAGGCTTCCAACAGTATGAATACAAACTGAACTATTTAAAAAATACAGGTGGAGTGTGAAGTCTGAGCAATGTAATCTACTTTTATGTTTGAAAATAAAATTACGTGGCCTGGGAAGGTGGCTCAGTGGTAGAGCACTTGCCTTGTATGCATGAGGCCCTGGTTCAATACCTCAGCACCACATAAGCAAAAAGAAAAAAGCCGGAAGTGACACTGTAGCTCAAGTGGTAGAGCGCTAGCCTTGAGTTGAAGAGCTGAGGGACAGCGCCCAGGCCCAGAGTTCAGGCCCCATGACCGGACCCAAAAAAATAAATAAATAAAATAAAATAAAATTACGTGTTTCAAATACTTTTGTCATTTTTTTCAATTAGAGTACCTCTTCTTAAAAAGAAACTTATGCATGCATGATGACAAAATGTTGATCTTATAACATGAACTTACTTGCTTTTTCATACTTTCAGATTTTTATTCATTCCAAAAATAAAAACATTTATTCATCTTTCACTATTTAAAGTTGTTTTAACTTATAAGACTAAAAAAAGAAAACTCTTACCTATGTTTCTATCTGCATTAAAGCTGTTAGATCTACAAACAAATTTTTAAAAAGAAAAAGAAATTACTGATTGGCAACAACATGAAAGTTAACATTCAGGACCTTAATATAAGTGTTATTTGTTTTGTTTGTTTGCAATTCTGGAGATCAAATTCATAGCCTTATGAACACATGGCAACTGGTCTACATTAAGCTACAACCCCAGACTGAGTGCTGTCTCTAAGCAATTTTTGCTAATGGTTAAACATTCCACCATCTGAGCCACAGCTCTACTTCCAGCTTCTTGGTAGTTAATTGGAGATAAGAGTCACAGCCTTTCCTGCCCAGGACCGCTTCAAACAACAATCCTCAGATCTCAGCTTCCTGAATAGCGAGTATTGTCAATGGTGCTAGGTCTTAAGTGCTATTTTTGTTTTTTGCCAGTCCTGGGGCTTGAACTCAGGGCCTCGGCTGTGTCCCTGAGCCTCTTTGTGCTCAAGGCTAGCGCTCTACCACTTGAGCCACAGCGCCACTTCCTGCCTTTTTTTTTTCTTTTTGCTTATGTGGTGCTTGCATGCCTGAGGCATGCAAGGCAAGTGCTCTACCACTGAGCCACCTTCCCAGCCCCTCCAGATACTGTTTCAAGGCCAGTCTAGTAAAAATATTGACAAGATCCTTTCTCAAAAGAAGCTGAGCAGGGTGACAGTAACCTGTGACTACTCAGGAAGGATACATAAGAGGATTGTGGTCTAAGCCAGTCTGGGCAAAAACCCAAGGCACTTTGTGATGAAAAAAATCTAAGAGGAAAAATAAGTATCTGGAAAAAAATAAAATAAAATGCTGAAATAAGGCTCAGCAGGTAAATCACTGCCTACCAAGTACTAGACATTGAGTTCAAAACTCCAGTACCACAAAAAAGAAAAAGCAAGGGCTGGGAAGGTGGCTCAGTGGTAGAGCGCTTGCCTTGCATGCACGAGGCCCTGGGTTCCATTCCTCAGCACCACATAAGCAGAAAGAAAAAAGCTGGAAGTGGCGCTGTGGCTCAAGTGGTAGAGCGCTAGCTTTGAGCTGAAGAGCTAAGGGACAGCGCCCAGGCCCCACAACTGGACCCCCAAAAAAATAAAAAATATATAAAAAATTTTTAAAAAAAACAAAAGCTGTGTTTAACCTATACAAATAATTGAGAGGATATTTTGTCCATACGACAAATATAAATATAAAAACAAAATAAATGATATAAAAGATAAATAATACTGTTTTGAATATTCAAGTGGAACAATGCCTCATAATCATGGGCATTTGAAGAAGAGCTGACACTAAACCACAGGTTTAGTGCTAAGACGGGGTGGTAGAAGACAAATAAAAAACTCCTGTGCGGGCTGGGAAGGTGGCTCAGTGGTAGAGTTCTTGCCTTGCATGCAGGAGGCCCTGGGTTTGATTCCTCAGCACCACATAAACAAAAAGAAAAAAGCCGGAAGTGGCGCTGTGGCTCAAGTGGTAGAGCGCTAGCCTTGAGCTGAATTGCTGAGTGAGGGACAGCGCCCAAGCCGAGTTCAGGCCTCATGACCGGAACAACAACAAAAAAAAAATCCTGTGCTCTGGGGTAAGATGTAAAGATAAAATATTCAGAGGCCTCATTTACCTACTATAATCCAGGCCAGAGTAATGTCAATACGAGGAAGAGGATTCAAGGCTGGAGAGAACACAAGCAAGGACACTGATTCACAAACCTAATGACTATTCAAAAGACAGCAGTGTTTTCATTTTTTTGTTGTTGTTGTTGGTCGTGGGGCTTGAACTCTAGGCCTGGGCGCTGTCCCTGAGCTCTTCAGCTCAAGGCTAATGCTCTACCATTTAAGCCACAGTGCCACTTCCAGTCTTTTCTGTTTATGTGTTGCTGAGGAATCGAACCCAAGGCCTCATGCATGCGAGGCAAGCACTCTACCACGGAGCCACCTTCCCAGTCCCTCAATTTTTTTTATAAGGGGATATACTCTATAAGTTCCCACTATTTACCCATAATTTGAGCTAACAGATTTGTAAGGATAAACAAATTACTTGATTTCAAATAGTTTATAATTTAATGACAAAGGAATATAATAAACAAGTAGAGTTATCAGATGGTGACAGTTTTAAGTACTATGCAGAAAAAATAAGACAAATAAGAGATTTAAAACCTTTAAAAAAGAAAATCAAGGGGCTGGGAAGGTGGCTCAGTGGTAGAGTTGCTTGCCTTACATGTATAAGGCCCAGGGTTCAATTCCTCAGCACCACATAAGCAGAAAAAGCTGGGAAGTGGCTCAAGTGGTAGAGCGCTAACCTTGAGCTGCAGAGCTCAGGGACAGCGCCTAGGGCCAGAGTTCAGGCCCACGACCAAC